GTGCTCGCTGTGGCTCCAGGCGGTCAGCCGCCCCTGGATCAGCGCGGTCGGAGGCGCTGCCGGCGCCTGGCCCAGTGACTGCCTCGCCGCTCCCCTGTTCTCCTGCCCCTGCCGTGGTGCAGCTGGCGGCTTGTATGAGTCCTGCCCGGTTGGAGATTGCGGGGATGCTCGCAGCAACCTCGGTGGCGTCTGTCAGGATCTGCGGGCCTCTTTCTGCCGCCTCGTGGAGCAGGCCGAGGCAGAGCGCAGGGTGGAGTGGGTCCATCGGTTGCGCCGGTCCCTGGCAGCCAAGCTGCCTTGCTCGCTGCCGTTGTCGAAGACAGGCGGAGTCCATTGCTAGAGCGCCGTTGACTCCGGCAGTGGAGACAGGGCTTACAATCCCGAAGCGCGGTGGGGAACCTGGCAAGCACGCGGTGTTCCGCAGAGCCTCAAGCGCGTCAACTGCAGCTGGGTTGAGTCCATGCCATATGGTCCCTGCGCGAGCGCGCGATACGTCGGCGGACGTAACCCATATCAGCCATGTAAGCAGGTCGTGCCATGGCCCTCCTTGCCCTCTGTTCTCTGTGCCAATGATGGTGGCGGCTGTCTGATTGTCGCGGCGGTTGCTGAACAGCGCGGTGAGGGCATGTACTGTTTGACTTGTGAGTCTCTCCCAATCGGTTTCGAGTGATGGGTATAAGCCAAACCCCGGCAGTCCAGGTGCGCCCCTGCATAACGGGTCGGCCGGGTTGGCTCCTTCCGCCAGTCCTTGCACCGCTCCGGCCATCGGTGGCGGAGGAGGGGTTTCGCTAACGCGCCCAGTAGTGGGTTGTACGCCTTCTCGGGCACGGGTGTCAGGTGCCCCCGGGCGGGGGGGGTTGTCGTCTGACAAAGCCGCTGGGGTGCGACTCCTTTCTGCGTCCCTGGTCTGCAGCTGTCCGTTCTCGGCGCGAGCTGTCGTTCTAGTGTCATGGGGGTCGGCGGGCGCTGCGGCGCCGTCGTCTGGGCCGTGGGCGGAGCTATCCGTGCCCGCGGCTGTGGCGTCCGCGGTGCTCTGACCGCCTGTCCCGTGGGTGATCGCTGCGCGTCGCTCCTGCGGTCGAGTCGCGCGTCGCGCGCGTGCCTGTTGTCGGGAGGGTGTTCGTTCATTCGTTCCCGCTCCGTTGGGCGTTCCTGGGTTGGGTCTCTGGTCGCCGGCATAGGCAAGGGGGGCGTGGGCAGGCGTAGGGGGGGCTTGTAGGTTGGGGTGTGCGTTTGCGTTCACCTGCATGGGGTCGTCTGGTTCATCTCCTTCTGCTTCGCATCCCAGCTCCCTGCCTCTCGTGTTCCTTCCTGGCCCTCCGCGCTGCCTGTCTGCCGGGTGCTGGTGGTAGACCCGCTCCCACAGAGTTCCGAGAGCGTGATTGGCGCCCTCTGTCAAGCTATGGGAAGTGAGCCCCTCGTCTGGGGACTGGGCCTCGCGCGCCCCTGGGATCGCTAGGTGCGGGCTGTGGCCAACGAGGTCCGCGTTAGGTGGTTATGTAATCCATTGCGCGAAGGGGTTCATCCGCAGGGTTGCTTGTCCTACACCAAGTTCCGCGGCCAGTTCGTCGAAGTGGTCGCGGTCCAGGGTGGCTGTCTGAATGTGCTGGAAGAGCCAACATACGATGCTCATGGCGTGTCTGAGGTCGGTGATCGGCCTGCCTGCCAATGATCGGTCGGCTTCTACCCTCATCCTTGCATCGATCAAATTGGCCGGGGCGTGCATCCTACGTGTCGGCAGTACCTCAGCGAACGCCCCGAGCGCAAGCTGCGCTGCCCTAGGGCATCGGGGCATGCCTCAACCAGTCCACCCTCGGGTGGTGGGTCGTCCTGTGCTCGTTGCAATATCACGTCCCGCATGCAGGGGTATTGTGCAGGCCTGGCTGGGCCTGGTCGCGGGGCGGGGGCCGCGTGCCTTGTCTGGGTCGCCCGTGTGGGGGGGTGAGGCGGCTAACCCCAGGGCCTCTGGCGTGGGCGGGGGCGGGCGGTCATAAGTCCTTCGAGCGATCCAGACATCGCCGACCACAGCCTCGGCGTGGATGCGCACAGGCGGAGCGTATCCGTGCGCGGCGGCTGCGGTGCCCGCCATCGCTGGGAGGCCGATGGTACACCAGCAGGGCAGCGTAGGCATATAGTCTGTCGTTTCTCCCACGGCCTGGACTACCACATGCCCGCCGGAGGAGACTGCCATAATGATGTATTCGCCTGGGTCAATGCGGGCGTCGACGTTGCGGGTCCCGCCCTGTTGCTCTTGTTCGAGCACCGACGGGGGGGGCGCCGTGGGGGCGCTCGCTCGCATCGGGCCGACGTGGTCATCGACCCAGTCTGTGGCGAGGGCAGGAGGCCCGATCCCTGGGAGCGCGTCGGCGCGGGCCGCGTCTGGGTCGGTGGCGGGGGCGGGCCAGGGTCTGATCAAGAGGCGGCACGCACCGTGCCCTACTGTCGTGCCCATTAGTGGCAGGTGCCGGTGGGCAGGCAGCCAGGGATCAGGGCACAGGCGTCGTATCTCGGCCCCCCCAACTTGCACTCCGTGTAGGTCCATTCTGGCAATGGTGACGACTTGCGGGCGCTCCGCCGCCCGCCTGGCGGCCGCCGCGCCCGGTCGAGCTGCCTCTCACTTGTTCGTCCAAGGCACTTCCGTGCCCGGGGTGCGCCTCGTGGGCTCCCTGGCGTGGGTAGCCGGGAAGATGCGGATGTGTTGACCGCTTAGGGTTAGGAGGCCGGCAGCCCCATAGGCCGCCTCCATAGTCTGCTCCGCACCCTCACGAAATACCACCTGGGCCGTGTCCCGATAGGCGTCGATGTCGGGATGCCAGCAGTGCACGTGCGCGACGGTCCATACGGCACTGCCACCCAGGGTCTCTGGACCGCGTGTCGGACTGCGTCCAGGTCGACTTGGCCTTCTGTGGCGACGTTCCAGCGTAGATGTGATCCTGCCTCCGGGTCCACACAGTGCGTGCCAGGGATGGGCCTCCTGTCAAGGGGTCAGCCATGGTGATTCGTCGAAGTGTCACCGCACCTGGTTGGCCGTTGCTGGCCAGCGCCGCAGGTGCGCGCGAACGGATATACCGTATGATGGGCGCCGCCGCGGCTTCAGGTGCGTTGATCAGCATGATCCCGGATGCCGCGATGCCCACCCTATGTCCAAGGGCCGCTGCGGCCTGCGCGGCGATTGGGTAGGCGAGACAGAGGCTGCCCCGCCGCAGTGGCAGATGGGCGACGTCTGCGGTCTCGTGCTGTCTCCATACTGCGGTGGGGATGTCGGCGGGTGCCATTTGCTGAGCCGCCGCTTGTACGTTCACGATGACGCGGTTGATGTCGGCAAGACTGGAGTCCCGCATGCGGATCTTGATGGCGTGATGGGCCAGTGGCTCTATCCCCTGTTGAAGAAACTCCAGGTTGCGCCCGAGTTGCGCGATGTTAGTGCCCCATTCCAACTGGTGTCCATGCGCCTCCATGCCCCGTTGGGTGCGCGTCACGAGGGCGACGACGCGTTCGTTGCCGGAGTCGGGGGTGAGGACGCGAGGGGTGTCCCGCAGGTCCGCACTGCCATTCCCCCCAATGCACCACTACACTGGGGACGTGTCGTAAGCGCATGGGCCTGGTCAGGAAATTGATCTGCATGGCAAGAATCTGTATGGGGCCGCAGTGCTCAGCTAGCGGCCGACCTACTGGTACCAGATGGTTGGCTCTGCTGAGTGCCCGGTGTCCCCAGAGAGTGTGTGCGGCGGCCGTCATCCTGATCGGATCTGGCCCTCCTGGTGTAGTAACTCGCTCGTGTCCGAGGACGACCAAGTGGCAAGGGACGGCCTCGAGCTGGATTAGGCCGACCAGAGCGTCCACTTGAGTGGCGCCGGTGTCGACTGCCATAATGACGGGAGGCGGCGACGGGGCGCGTGCGTCTGGACACTCGGTGGTTCGCCTTGAGTAATCCAGAATCTCTCTCACTTTGTCGTGTCTGGCCTCGTTGGGGAACGTGAAAGTCGCCGCTGTGTTGTCGATGGGCCTGATTCCTACCAGCGCCCGCGGACATACCACGATGGTCGCTCGTAACTCGCGAATCGCTGCCGCGACTACGGACGTGGGCGCGTGGACCGGTCCTCTCGTGCGCCCGCGGCTAACTGCGTTAACTCTGACTACCGCGTTGCACCACCTCTTGTGGGTGACCAGGGGTCGCTGTTCCAGTCGTGCCCTCTCGCTGGGCAGCTCAATCTCCTGGTGGCTGGACGCTGCTCGGCTGGGCCGAGTCCCTTCGCGTGGTGGCCCTTGCACATCGGGGTTCCCATCCGGCGTCGCCTCATTCGCGGGCCCGGGGGAGCAGGTGGCCATGGCGGCCTGACGCTGTGTGAACTCACGCTGCCATCGGATCATGCGCCGTAGCCTGTCCACGTCTTCGTGGGAATGTGTCTGAGGCCGCGGGCCGGTGGTGCCGTCAGGTCGGAGCCGAAAGACCCCCTCTAAGACGTTGGTGGCCCACTGCGTTTCGGCCTCCGTTGCTGGGGGTAGAAGGGTGTCCTCCTCCCGCTCGTCGCCGTCGTCTGCCGTGCTGGCGTGGTCGTCTGGCGCGTTAGGCTGCGCGGGGGAGGCGGGGGCTGCGTTCCCACTCTCCGCCCCTTGCGCAGGTGCGCCCGGCATTGTCGGGGCAGGTGGTTCGATGACCTGGAGGGTGTCGCCGTTGTCCTCGCCGCGGCACAGCCGACGCTGACGCTCGCCCCTTCTTTGCCGCATTCGCCAGTCTTCGACGCAGTGTGAGTGCGCTCGGTGCACACATGGTATGATGCTGGAAACCCTGCCGATCATGATGTCCTGGCAGATCGGGCATCGCTCCCTCGCGGCGCCCGTCTGGGCGGGGGGGGGGCAGGCGGTGGGCTAGCACTAGCCACGGCGGCTGTCAGTTCGTTATATACGAAGCGCCATTGTTGCCCCCCCTCTCTGGTGGAGCCCTGCATGAGACGCGCGAGGTGTCTTTGGGCGTCTCCCAGCGCGCCGGCGCTGAAGGGTTAGTATGCAGGAAACGCCTCGGCAGGCATGCCTGTGGCCACTGAAGCGAAGCTCACGAGCTGCGCGGGCGATAGCACCGCGGCCCGTCTGAGCCATCTTGCGACGACGTCGAAGGGTCCTCCGTATATCTGCCTCCCCACGAGCAGCGGTCGTAGCAGAGAGCGATAGTGGGGGCGCAGGATGAGCCACATCACCGCCGATAGCCACTGGCTTTGATTAGCGCCAGGGCTCGGGATGCCCCTTAGCATGTCATGTGCTCTTTGCGCCGCGGCGCCGTCCACCGAACCGTCGTCGCGTAGCGCGGCGGGTGGAGCGTTGGCGTTTTCGTCGGTTTGGTCCCTGCGATCTAGTGCGCTGGCGATGTCATGGATGGTCAGGACCGTACGCCGTTCGGGCTGGTACGGGATGTGGCGTGGCAGAATTCGCACGCTCGAGCCAGTAAGGGTGCGATGGTCGGCGTGCGCGGCGGTGCTGCGTGGCGTCCATGCGTCGGGCCTGTGGAGGTCCCTGCGGTGCGGGCGGTTCTCGCGCCCCTCGGGGAGGCGGCGCGCCTGCTCCTTGTGGCCCCATCATCACGTCGGCTTGTGCCCATCCGTGCGGGTCCGCGAGGTTAGCCAGGTGCTCCTGCAGCAGTGCGTGTAGGTAGCCGCATTCCTGAAGGGCGGGGACGTTCAGGCCACTTCATTGCGAGAGTGCCTGTGCCTCTCCTCGCAGGATCACGAGCGCGTCACCGCTCGTCATCACGTCACGTCCTTCCCACCATTCTACCGTGGCCCGGAAGCCGTTGAGCGGCGATCCCGCGGTCCGCAGCGACAGTCGCAGTGCCTCTCTGGCGGCCTCGACAGCTGACAGCCAGAGGAAGGGGGCCAAGTATCCGCTCCAAGTGTAGTTCTGTAGCGTGCGATTCGCCGTGGCCTGTCTAACGCACGCAATCTCGTTTTGTATGGCCCGAGTTACTTGCCCAGCGCGGTCTGCAAGCCCATCTGTCACCCCTATGCGCGGCCTGTCGCTTCTTCTATGTCCCAGGTCGTGGGCTAGGTCGGCGGGGTGTCCTGCGTCGACTTCCATGGGGATTGTGGACCCACCGCTGTTGAGGTGTGCTGGGGCTCCGTGCGCGCTCTGGCCCCAGGAGGTGGGGGCGTGCGCGTGCTCGGCACGTTCACCGCGGGTGGCGGCGGCTGCGTCCACTGCGTGACCACCGGCCCGCGTTGGCGCGGCTGTCGTTTGGCCCGTCCGGGTGCTTGTGCTGTCGACATCCGCGCGGAGCCGTCTGACCATCATGCGCATCAGCGCTCTGCCCAGCGAAGACATGGGTCGCAGGTTGGCAATGTCGTGGTGACGTTCGTGCTGAGCCGCTGCTGTGAGGACTGCTATCCCTTCTACGGCTACCTCTTGCTCTTCGCCGGTCATGCCGCACCCGTATTGGTGCCGTGCGAGAAAAAGGGGGTCGTCGGGGGGTTCGGTCTGGCGTCTGCTGAGACCCGTCACGTGGGCAATCCAGTCCACGTCCCTATCGGAGAGCCCGAATTGCACGAGTCTGGTCATGCCTCCTAGCTCGCTGAGATCGTCGGCTTGCGCTTGGCCGTCGTTGATGCCAAGGGCGGGTGGGATAGTCTCGTGCGTGGCGGTGATGGCTCGCGGTAGCCATTCTGCTACCTCGCGGTTCCTCAGGGCCTGCGCTCGGATGACGTATGCTAAATCCGTGGCGTACCGCAGGTTCGACCCGCATAGCGCGGAGAGCGCCGCCGCGGCACCGTGTTGGTGGTCGCCCGCCGCGGGGTTTGTCCACGTGGAATCTTCCGAGGCGACCATCCATTTCCAGGCTAGGAGCAGCTCCCCCACGAGCCAGGATGGGGGTGTAGCTGACAAACCGCCCCCTGGTGAGCATAGCGGCGCGTATGCTTGTGCTGCGCGCGCCAGAGCTGAGGGGGCCGCGTCGCCCAGACAATCGAAAGGAAGCCTTTGTATCCAATCGCTTGGGACGACTTGGACAGGGATGGTTTGATCGTAGTCGGCTTCTTGCATGGTCGCACGACTGAATCTAAAGCAGACGGGGCACATCCCTGCCAGGGGGCCCTCTCGGAGCTTCCAGGAGCCGCTGGCACCGCATTGGGCCTGCATGTGCGGGTTGAAACCATGGGGTGGCACGAGGGGGTCCCTTCTTGGCCATGTCGCAGTGACTGGTCTTGTCGCGGAGAGACGTATGTCTCCAGCTCCGTCGCTGTCGGGCAGCACGAGGGGCACGTCCCCTGAGCCCCGCAGGCGTTGTCCTATGACGTCTGGGAAGGCTCTAGTGAAGCCCGCAGGTGACGCGCCGACGGCGTCTACCGCGCGGTCCGGGAAGGCGCCCGCTGCTGTGTGTCGTGCCCATGTTAACATGTTGCGGGTGGACGGGAAGGACATCCTGCCGTGCCTGCCTTCCCATATGGGCGCCCTTCTGACAAGTGTGCGGTCGGGGGGCCCTGCTTCTAGCCCGGCCAGGGGGAACAGGTCGAGTGCTTGTCCTGCGCGCTATGGCTGTAGCCCCATGTTGAGTTGCATTGCAGCCTCCTCCATGGTTTGCGACTGGGCGTTGGCGATGCTTTGTTCCGCCCGTGTTGCGGGGGGTCGGCCAAGCGGTTCGGGGCGTGCAATCTGGGCAACCTGGTGGAGGCGCGCAAACCGCGTCGCAAGAACTTCGTACGCGCGCGGCTCTATCCCGCCTCGCCGGACCACGCGTTCGCGGCCGCTCAGGGGCCAGAGAAGCCCGGTGGCGTCGGCTGCGCGGATAAACAAAAACAATCAAAAGCAAACAGAACCAATGAATGGGGCCAGCCCAACGGGCCCAGCGACCGCAGGGCGGCGGGCGAGCCCGGGGCGACCGCCGCCGCCGACGGACAGGCGAAACGAATCGAAAGAAAACAAAACCAAGGCATTTGGCCAGCCGACGGGTCGAGCGACCGCGGGGCGGCGGGCGAGCCCGGGGCGGCCGGTGCAGCCGACGGACAAGCGAAAACAAACAAAAAACAAACGAAACCAAGGAATGGGGCCAGACGAGGGGCCGAGCGATTGAAAGGCGGCGGGCGAGCCCGGGGCGACCGGCGCAGCCGAGAGACGCGCGAAACCAGCAAAAAAACTAAACCAATGAACGGGGCCAGCCGAAGGGCCGAGCGACCGCGGGACGGCGGGCGAGCCCGGGGCGACCAGCGCAGCCGACGGACAAGCGATTACAAAATAACACACACGCACAAGACGCAAGATCCGGGCCAGCCGAGGGGCCGGGCGAAGGCGGGGCGGCGGGCGAGCTTGAGGCGACCAGCGCGGCCGACGGACAAGCGAAAACTTTTTTGATTCGCGGGTCGAGAGCGCACCTCTTCCGGACGAAGCTAAGCGGGCCGCGCACAGCTTGAATTAACGAGGGGGGGACAGAGGGAGAGGCCTCGCGTCGAGGCCAGGAGGAGGCAAAGCCCCGGGATCAGGCGGTGCCGAAATCGGCGCGCTTGCAATGGAACGCCTCGGACAGGACCCGGGGGCGAAATGCCGGAAGAAGCAAAATCCTGTGGTTGGCGGTGCCGTCAGCGGCTCGTCACGCACGCCAGCCTCGAGCGGCGGCGAGAGAGGGCGCGCCTTGCGTCCAAGCGGTGTCGACCAGGGAGGGCGGAGAACATCGCTGAGCCGAAAGGCGACGCTGCGCCGCCGAACAGGATGCGGGAGCGGGCGGCCCAGGCCGCGGTTGTTCAGGGTGCCGCGGGCTCAGGGCACGGGGGCCGCAGTCTGAGGCGCGGCAGCCAGGACACGCCAGGATCATGCCGCCTATAACGACCGACAAGGTGCCGGTGTGCTGCAGGAGGTGGAAGCCTGCCCTGCAGTGGCGAGCGCGTGGGATCGGGCCGAAGCCGCCTTCGCCGGGGCGCTGCCGTTGTCCGCGGAGCCCGGGGCCGGGCCGGGGCCGCGCTGCGCCCGGGACCGCGGGGCTGCCGAAGCGGCAAGGTGAAGCGGGGCCATCGCGTGCGAGCGCCGGGCGCCGGGCCGAGGCCGCGCCGCGCCGGGCGCGGCCGCCATGCGGGAGGGGGAGTAGCGAGCAGGGAACTTTAAAGGGGAAAGCGGGCAGGGGGGGAGAAAGGCCGGCCAGGCGAGCCAGCCAACGCCGCTGCAGCCCCGCGTCAGCAGCCAGGCGCCCCCGCCAGCTGCCGGAGGCATGTGGAACCTGCGGAATCAGGGGGGGCTAACAGTCCCATTTTCAAGCAAGGGAGGGGGAGGGAGGGGGAAACAGGGCAAGTCGTTGCAGGAGGCGCCGTGAGGCCTTGCAAGGGAAAGGAGGGGCGGTTCGGACATGGCGCCCGAGGCCAAGAGAACAATTAGAAACATTTGAGGTACGTCAGCGCTTGGGCGCTGTATTCCATTCCGGTTGTCCGTGGACCCAGAGCTGAAGAATGGGCCGCCCCCCGTGCCCATCGTCTTTGGCCGCATCCTGGTTCCGCCGGATGTCCCGATGCAAAGCGCTTTCGCGGTCCAAGTCGATGTCGCAAGTATACCGCGGGATCAGGAGGGACTAACCGCCCCATTATCAAGTGCGTAGGAGGAGGGGGGGAGACAGGGCCAGGCGCTGCACCCGAAGAATAGCGCCAAGAGGCCTCGCCAGGGACGGGAGGAGGGTTTGGCGCGGGCACCCTGGGCGGCGGAGTCAGCGGGAGCGTTCGGGGCAAGTCAGCGCCTGGGGCGCTTCCCGGTCCAGTTGTCTGCGTGCCCGGAGCTGCGTGCTGGGCCGACCCCGCGCCCCTCACCCTTAGCCACCTCCCGCTTCCGCTGGAACTCCTGACGCAGGGCGTTTTCGCGGCCCCAGTCGACGTGGGCGCCCGCGCTCCGGGACCAGGTGCCCACGTCGCAATGGCTGCGTGCCATTTCATCCAGGAAGCGGTCGATCATGTCGGGCTTCCAGCAGGACGGGTCGAACTTGACTTGGTCCCTGGTCTTGCCCTTGTCCTGGCCCACGTGCCCGCGCCAGGAGTGCCAGGCTGCGGCGAAACAGAAGCCCCCCTCGGCCTTCAGCCCTTTCAGGTGGGCGGCCGCCGTCTCGCCCGGGCGTCTCGGCCAGCTGACGCGGCGCTCTTCCCAGGAGCGGTTGTGGTCAGGGAGGCGGCGCTCATCTTTGTTTTGTTCAGGGCGGCGGCGATTGTCGCATCGCTGCCAGGAGCCCCACCCTCCGCCCCTGTCGCGATCGCGGTCTCGGTCGCGGTCGCGCTCTCTAGCTCGCTCCCTGTCGCTGGTGTCTCTGGACGGGCGCCGAACCGTGCTCTCGCATCGGCCCCGGAGACCCGGCTCACTCCCCCTGCCGCGCGCGCGACCGCACTCGAGCGGAGGACGGGGGTCGGGTGCGGCGCGCCCGGCCCCTGCGGCCACACTCCGGAGTGGTGTGCGCGGGGCGCGGGCGTCAGCGCCGGCCACCGCTGGCGTGCCCTGTCCCTTGGACCCGTCGGCCTGGCGGGCCTGGCGCTGCGCGTCGGTGCCGCGTTCAGGGCTGCTGCGCCGAACCTCCCGAGGGCTCGTGCCGATGTGGACCTGCCGATGGGTTCCAGGGTCCGGGGAAGGTGAGACCGTGTGGGCTACGCCTGAGGCCTCTGCCAGCCTCTGAGCCTGTTCCTTCTCCGGGTCTTTCGAGGTGTAGTCGGGGATCTCCTCCTTGGCGCGGTCGCACGGCGGCGGCTCGTGCGCGGGGCCCCGCGCGACCGCCCGTGGAGCGCGGGACTGGGGCCTGGACTTGGGCTGAGCCCCTTCCGCGGACGCCGCTGCGACGGTTCCGGGGTCGGCGCCGAGCCAGGAGCTGGCAGGGGCCGCTGCCGCCTGCGGTGCTTGCGTCATGTCGGGGGGGCCCTCCAGGAAGGCGACCGCGCGGCCCGCCGCACTGCCGCGTAGGATGTCGGCGCGTAGCGCCTTGGTCCCAGCGTTGAGGTTTCCCCGCCCTGTCTGTTGGGGTTACATCAGTTGGTGGTGTTTGATGGCCTCAAGGTTGTCTTTTCGGAGTTGGTAGTTCGATGGTTAGCCGCGCGGTTCCTCACTCTTCTAGTTGGGGGCCCGATGGGTAGGCAAACGCCTCCAACAAGTGTTGATCATCGTTTTCGGGGGGCTGAGATACCACCGAAAACATGCAGCACAAGTTAAACCAGTTCTCAGGAACGACACGCTTAGCTGTGTGCGTGCGCTTTTCGTGCGTGCGAAGCTGTTGGGCCCCATCTTTGGAACTCCTTTGGGGTCCACAGTGGTTCCTCGTCCCCCTATGGGCCCCTGCCCTTCAAGGCGCCTCTCCTTGGGTCCCCTCTTGTGGAGCCTCCCTTAGGGTTCCAGCTTGGAGCCTACGAGTAAGTAGGGAAGTAGGGTATAACGCGACGGCCTACGCCATGGCGCAAGCTATGGTGCAACCTTTAGGACCTGAGTAGGTACACTGCTGTACGATGCAGCCAACATGTGCGCGAACAACACAAACAGAGTAACACAACAATGCTCACGTGGACATCATATTCATTGTTGGCACCGTTTCCGTAATCATTTTTTTCAAACCATCATCGGCCTGTGCACTGTTGCACGTCATGGCGTCCCCTTCGCCTGAGCAGTGGCTGAGCGACGAGGCGTTCAGCCCGCTCAGCCTGCCGACGCCTGTCTTCGAGGCGCCGCCGCCCGAGGAGGCGGGCGAGGCGCTGCCTCCAGAGGAGGAGAACTGGCTAGAGGCGGCCGACGAGCTGCCTCCTGGGCTCGCGGGCGGCGACGGCCAGCTGGTGGCACTGGAGCCTCAGCCCGTCGCGCCGTTGGGGCCGCAGGGCGCGATCGCGCCGCCGCCG